AAATAGAATGTTCTTTTTTTATTGTTTACGAATTCCAAAGAAACAGATTAGTGTAAAATTTATTCTATAAGAGGATATATTCTATAAGAGGAATAATTGAAAGATTAGTGTAAAATTTATTCTATAAGAGGCACTTTGTCATTTTAAGATTTTTATTATTTTTTAACATTAAGGAGACTATGGATATTAATTTAGAAGGTAAGCAGTCAGTTACGTTATTTGCCTTTAGTATTTATTTAATTTAAAAAAAAATATTTCAACTTTGACTTAGAATTACAAAAAAATATATCAATATAGTCCGAAGGAATTTTGAAAATAAAACCTTTAAACAATTTAGTTTAAAATGATAATAATCATTTTTTGCGGAGATTTGCGGAATTTGCTATTTTTCTATTTTTAGAACAATCCTCTGCTATTCCCAACAGCACAGCGAAAAATGGGTAACTTGTAAAAAAAAATAAAAAATCTTTAGTAGTCCTGGAAACAATTCAGGATTTCCTAAAATTAGAGGATTGTCCCATAGAGATTGAAAGAAACTTGCTGCATAGCAGTAGGTTATTTGGCACGAATTTAGAACGAATGTGGAATGCATGTGGCAGACGCCGTGATAATTTTGAAAAGAAACATTTGATATGGCTTCAAGGCAATTTAAAATTGGGTAATCTTCAACGAATATTAGCAAATCAAGAAGAACCCCAGCCTGGACCCAGCCGTGGAAGGCCGCGAGTACCTTTTGAAGCTGCATCTACCAAAACTAAATTGCGTAGAATAGAGGCCAATTACACACCGGAAGAGATATGTTTTGCAGCAGAAAGGGTTAAATCACAGAGTTGTCAGGTTCAGACAGAACAAAAATTAACGCCTGAAAATGCTTTGGCGTTATTCTGTGATTTAAAGCTTTCTGTTGAAAAATATAATATACTGCGCTCAAAAATTAATTCTTTGCATAAAGACTGTTTCCCAAGCTACCGCACGCTTTTAGCCACTAAAAATACACTATTACCATCTGCAATTATAGTAACTGACACCTCAGCTGAGGTAAATCTGCAAGAATTGTTAAACAAAATGGCCGAGAGCATTTTAAGAATTCCTAATTTAACGTTTTCCGAGATTAATTTAAAACTTGTTTGCAAATGGGGGTTTGATGGTAGCTCGGGACACAGTCTTTATAAACATGTCTTTGAAGATTACTCTTCCACAGATGAGTACATGTTTTTGATCGCATTAGTACCACTAAAATTAGTTGAAGTCAGCAGTGGAAAAGTTCTGTGGTCGAACCCTCGCCCTTCGTCAATATGGTACTGTCGACCAATTGCATTTAAATTTGCCAAAGAAAATTCAGAGCTTGTTCGCACTGCCGAGAAAGAAATTCAATTATTAGTAAGCGATCTTAAACTTTACACTTTCGTTTCTGACCAAAATATAGAACTAAATATAGGGTACGAACTATTACTAACAATATTCGATGAAAGTGTGGCCAATGTTCTATCGGAAACAAACTCTACAGCAAGGTGTATCATTTGTGGAGCCACCCCCAAAGATATGAATCAAGAAGCAGTTGTGCAAAAAACGCCAAATATAGATAATTATCGCTTTGGCTTATCAACACTCCATTGCTGTATTCGTTTTTTTTAATGTTTATTACATATAGCCTATCGCTTACCTTTGAAAATTTGGCAAGTAAAAGGCAACGAAAATAAGGATACCTTTGAGCAAACAAAAAAGCGAATCCAGTTGGATTTTAAAACTAAAATGGGGTTAATTGTAGATAAACCGAAGCCCGGGTATGGCTCCACAAATGATGGCAACACGGCAAGGACATTTTTTAAACATTCAGAACTAAGTTCGGAAATTACAGGAATTGATCTTAACCTAATTAAAAATGTTTTACTAATTTTAAGAGTTCTTTCTTCAGGCTGTAGGATTAATATACCTAAATTTCAATCTCTTCTTAATAACACTCGAAAACTTTACTTAGATTTGTATGCATGGTACTACATGATGACCCCATTTTACAATTCATAAAATTTTAATTCACGGTTGTGACATCATTAGTTTTTTTGAATTACCTGTTGGGCAACTAGCAGAAGATGCTCTTGAAGCAACACACAAAGAATTTAGAACAACTCGTTTACACCACACCCGCAAAACTTCAAGATTTCAAAGCAATACAGATCTTATTAGAACCCTTTAAATTAATTCTGATCCAAAAATAGCATACTTGAGAAATATTTCTAAAACCACAAAACCATACAATACCGCCATTACTCGCTGACGAGTATTTGACACGCATCAGAAGATGGTCACGCAAGGCATTTTCTTTCATGAAAACAAACTTTCACAAAAAATATCGTAAAATGGGACATGGAAATTCAAGCATATTTATATGACAATGAAAGCATAGAACAATCAGTTTTCGACAACGACTTGGATGTAAATATGCTTGAGTGATTTTACTTTTTTTGTGTATATTATAAGGTGTTTAGTTATTCTTAGAGTAATTTATCTTTATATTATTATTCTTTATTATGAGTGGTTTATATTATTATTGTTATTATCGTTGTTCACTTTTATGGCAATATGAGATGAGGGCTTTCGCAAAACTCACTCCTTTTTGAGTCACTTTATTATTTTTCTTATTATCCTGCTCGTTTCTGATATGATTTTTGAAATTCTGTTTTTTTATTGATAAGTTATGTTTGGTGATGGTATGAGTCCTGAGATGGAGAGACGAGTAATCGACACTTTTCCATTTTCCATGCTTCTTTTATTATCATTATTATTGCTGTTCTCATTTTTGTGGTATACTTTTGTAAACTTTGAGTGAATTTAAAAAATGCATAGAACTATAAGTCTGATAAATTGTTCAAAATAAAATCTTTAAATATTGTAGAATTCACCAAAACACTTTTACTTTTACACTGGACGCGCGTTTCGCTAACCATGTTAGCATCATCAGCTAGGTGATTTAGTGTTTTTATTTTGCTGTGTAACACCAAAGGTTCCAACCCTCAACTGTAATATTGTAGAATTAAAATAATATGCATCATGTTTTGCGCATTTTTGCGATTTTTGTTAATTTTCTATTTGTAAAGAAATCCTCTGCTATTTTCAATTTAGGATTTTATACCAAAAATGCCAAATATTTATTTTTAAATTTATAATATATTTTTTTAAGGTTTCTAGCACATTTTCAAAAATACGTCAAATGTATTAAAACCATAGCAAATTCTTTAACCCTCTAAGTGGGGGTATCATCCCCCAATTTATTTCCAATGGAATTAGGGGTCAAGTAATATTTTATTAAGAGGACTTTAATTTATCTATATAATGCTGGTTATTTTTTGAAAATTAATCAACCCCTTAGGAAAATAGTGGGGTTTGAAATTGGGGGATGATACCCCCACTTGAATGTTGAAGATTTTACCCTAAAATAACGTATTTTTAAAATTTGTTTAAAAAAACCTTCCAAATTTCTTGATATAATTTATTTTGCATTTTTTTCCTTATTTTATTGATATTTCAAACCTCCATATTTTCAATAGGGGCTTATCGATTTTAGAGAACTATAAACCAATATTTAGGTAAATAAAAGACCTTTTCAATAAGGTATAAATTGGCCCCTCTTTCCATGTGAAAAATTTTGGGGGATGACACCCTCGCATAGGGGATTGACAATTTTGCAATCATTTTTGGAGCAAAAGTTGGCTCTCTTATAAACAAAATAAATAAAAATAGTCGCAATAATTAATATTAGTTTGTTTTCAAAATATGAATTTTGACCCAATTCCCCTATAAGGTGCAACACTGTGCGACGGCGGTGTCGATGTCGTCGTAACGAATAACTTGCAATTGTCATTAGCCAGTGAAGGCCAGGTTAATGAATTAAAAGAACTAATTGTTGCTCAAAGTAAGTTAATTCAAGAGCAAAACACCAAAATAGATAAACTTACAGGGCTAGTAATAATTATATCTAAAGAAATAAAAAAACTGAAGCGGACTGATGACACCAATATCCAGGGTAGCATAACGATGGTAATTAGATGTAATTTTCCCATGCAAAGGATTGATGACATAAAGGCATGAAAGTTTAAAAAACTCCGAAAATGGCGCTGTCAACGAATTTGTAAGTAAAATAACAAAATAGTAGTAACTACATCCTTTTACAAAAAAAAAATGTTAACTGATTATCTCTCAAATCTATGAATAAAATAAGTTTTCAGTGTCTCTTTAAGTGCTACAATACCAACAATAATATATTGTTAAGTTTAACTTTACAATAAGTAAAATTAATACATATGTATCTGATTTTTAAATATTCTAGTTTATTTAAATATATTGATTATAAGAGAATTATATACTTTAGAATTGCAACAAAAACTCAATTATTCTGGCCGTGAAAATAAGTTTTCTACCAAAAACTTAACTCAAACAAAATTAATACTGGGTAAGTTGACATTTTATAACATACGAGTTTTAACAAATTTTAAAATATTAATTATTTTACATAAGTAATGCAACTCAATAGTAGTAGAACACAGGTGGAAGCCATTAATGAATATATGTATCATCTACAGCATGTTACCGATCATGTTCGAGCTGAAAGAAAAATTCGGGCCAATAAATAAGTATTTTAACTTACGATAACATGTTAAAAAAATATTTTTATCTCTATTGGAAATAGGAAAGAATGAGAATACTCGTTATATCTTTTATAATGCAGTGGTGATGCCAGGATTCGAATTGCCACGCTTAAAGACATAAAATGTTCAAATGTTTCGTTTGGCAGAACATTTTTCAGCACAGTATAAAGTAAAAAAAACTCTACATTCTGATGCTTCTAGAAAATGTGCATATTTTAGGCTTCTTGGTTTTTGTTGATAGTCCATGGGACTATAAGAGTGACACATTTCTAAGTGCTGATTAACATCAATTACTTTAGAAGCCTGTAGTTTTTGTGGTCCTGGTTTTCCTAACCATTATGTTTATTATTTTCTTTACTACGCCTTCACCAACGACATTATTTTATCGACGGGAAATGTCTTTATCATATCAATTGGTGGTCGTTGTAAGACATTCGGTTCTTTTTTCATATGATGTCCAGTATCATCTTCACCAGATGGCAATATCTTCCTAGCTCTGAAAGCTTCATTAGTTCTTTGTTCAGAATGGAGATCAGGATATACTATTTTAGTGTTATTTCCAGTAGCCACTGCTTCACCTTTTATATAACATTTTGAACAGCAATAATAACCACCATGACTTTTAATAGCTTTTACAAAAGCCATGGCTGGGGCATCGCATATTATAGCTCTCACCTGAACTGGATGAATAATACCATTCCACAAAAATCCATTTTGTAATAGATCTTCAATTTCTTCCACAAATTCTAATAGGTAATTATTGTACGACTCGGTTTTTTGCAGCCCATTAAACATTCCTACCACAAATCAGGCTGACCATTAAATATATTGGTTATACTTCCTAATATTGGCCAAAAGGTTGCTCCACCACTTGTGCTAATGGGCGTTCCATCCATGTTAAACGAAAGCTGCAAGTATGGTAATTTTAAATTCAATATATCGGTTCCAAAACATTGAAAATGCGTATTAAGATAGTCCTTAATACCTAAGTGAACATAATATCCATTATCCATACGAGGAACTTTCACAGATCTAAGTGTTTTAAGCAATGATCTTGCATCCAATGGAAGATCAACATGATTTCCATCGTAGACCAAAATTCGTAATAATTTAGAACCCTGAGTTAGCTGAATATTCCCCTTTATTGCCCATTCACGTAATTTATCCGAAAATGACTTCTGAGCCAGTCTCTCTCTGCTCATCATCAACATCATCAACGTTTTTTTCAGACGATGAACCTGATTATGTATTTACTATACTACATGCTCCTTCATCTTCACAACTTAAACTTGTACCCAGAATGTTAGTTTTTGTAGATTGATCAACACTGATAATCACATTATTTTTTGCCTCTTGTGAATCTTGAACCGGTGCCTCTATAAAACAATTTTATTTTACTCCAATTTACCAAACTAACCTATCATAAATATACACATAAAAGTGCATGTCAAAGAGGCAAATTTTCAACGTAGGGAGAGCATGTAGGTAATGAACTGCGACATCTAAGTCCTAGAGCACATACAGTGGCAAAGCACTTGATCAACAATATATTATTTAACGCAAGTATACCAAGCAATATGATGCAAATGATGGACAAATATGATGCCAAGAATAGCACTCGAACTTCCACACCTTTTGAAAACTATGAAAGTAATTAAAGTGAACCACCCTCCGTGGCATCTGCTCCATCGCGCCAATCAATGTTTTCTGAGCCCAGTATCCCAGTATTATCTATATACCGCCATCTGACAACTTAGACAGTGGACCATCCTTCGCGATATCTGCCTGTTCGCGCCAGTCAACAGTCACTTTCCGTAGTATCTGCTCGTTCGCGCCAATCAACGCTTTCTGAATCCAGCAATGTCGATGTACCGCCATCTGACAACTTTGGAAACAATAAAAAACAAGGAGACCTTTCGCCTTTCGCAATACTCTCTGAGTTCCTGGATTCTAAATAAGTCCTCAACAAAATAATGTATTGTATAAAAGCCATTTTTATGTCGATCAAAGCTTTGTATACCTCTGGAATGATTCGTGAAATGCTTCGTTCAGATATCCGGAACAGATACATAAGCGAAGAATAGCTATCGCCTGTAGCGAAATATCTTAATGTTACTAATAACCCAACGCGAGTTGGTATTGCTTCTCGAAAGTTGGTATCAGATTTTCGTATAATCGGTTGGATCTTCCCTAATAGGTATTCGAAATCTTCTCGGCCCGTACGAGTGAAATTTCGAAACAAAGCTTGGTCGTCGGCAATCAATTTATTAAAAAAATCATTCTGAGCTATTTGACCACCAACATATAATTGTCTTCTCCTATTCAAAGCTATTACTAGATATGCAGCCGCCGCAACCGTTTGTAACAAGCAAACTGAAGTTGCCTCTATTGAATTGATTAAGACACATGCTACAAATATATGCTACAAAACGCATGCGACTGTGAGCGACACGCTGCGTTGCTCGTGCAACATTGGTTTTTAAATGTGCGGCAAGTCGCATCTCTACAAAAAGCAAACACTAGACGACGCACGGTGGGGTATTAGCATGAAAAAGATGATCGAAATTCAAAAAAGCAAATGTGTTTAAGATTTCCCAAAAAAAGATAAATGATAAGTTAAATCATCTCTGCCGTGAATGGCGTTGCTATGGGTGTGTTTAGTTGCATTCATTTCTTTCAACGAAACGTCAAAGTTGTTACTTCTCACAGATAAGAGGTAAATGGCTAAATTTTATGTTTAAAATTATAAATTGTTGTTGTTCTTGTGCTCTTTTTAAGTTTATATTATTGTTTTGATTGAAAATGGCTCAGCAAGCTGCAGGTATGTATTCTACAAAAACGTATTATTTATTTTGATATTATCTATACTAACGATTTTTTTTGCAACTAAAAGTTAGGCGTTCAGAAAATTTGATTAAATTTGTGACATTTTTATTATACTATTAAGATTTAGTTGCGCATTTCGAAGAATTCAGCATATTGTCTATATACGTTTTACTTAGTAAACATTGGGCTTTCATACAGTAAAATAAAATACTGCGGCTTTTTGCGATTTTGCTGATAAAATGAGAAAAACATTCTTGGTTTCCTCTAATTTGCCAGTGATATACTAATGCGAGGTCTAAACCGCGATGGCATTGTTGTGTACAAAGCGATCGCATTAGTGCCATTAGCAGTATAGCACAATTTGGCATTAGTAGCGACTTTAGTGGTATGGGCATTGCTCGCGGATCAGTCGTAGCATTAGTAGTAGTAGTTGCGATATTACTACTGGCACTGACCGTGGAAACACTGGAACAGTGACTTTTCTTTCTTTTTTTAGAATCGACGAATTGTCCTTTATTTTGTTCATATTATTTCCTCTTTAATTGAAAATAGCAATAATTTATATAAGGTCTACATAAAAAAATCGATCAACTATCAGTGTCAAATACCCCACTGTGCGACGTGTTGCGTGCTACATATTGCCTAATGTTGCTCCAGTGGAATTGCGCCTTAAGTAAGTAAGTAAGTGAAGAGGCTTCTGTAAGAATTTATCAGCAGAGTAAAAATTATAAATGATAAGAGTTCTATGAATTTGCAATTAAATATCTATCGATAACATATTTTTTATTTAATTATGTAATAATAATTAAATAATTTATTTAGTACACTAATGCTTTATTGACGTATTCATAATGAATGATATTTGTTTCTGTATAGTTTTGGTGGCCCATCGAAAACGTTCGGCAAGGCATAACGGCCAGGGTAATTTTTTTTTCAGGAAATTCAAAAACACGTCAATTTTGTTTGTGAGGGGGACAACTTTTGCCCCAAAAATGATTGCAAAATCTTCAACCCTCTAAGCGGGGGAGTCATCCCCCAATTTTTTTCAAATGGAAAGGGGGGTCAAGTGGTATCGCAATGAAAAGGGCTTTCTATTCTCTATACTTTCCGGCTTCGTTTTTGAAAATCGGTCGAGTCATTGAGGAAATATGAAGGATTGAAATTTGAAAAGTTTATTTAAACATTTATCAGAGTAAATGATAAGGGTAAATTCCTTCGACCAATTTGATGTTTTTTCTTATTATTTCTAGATGTTTACGCATTTTTTCACTTGCCACAAGGTTGAACGATCAGGTGCGGTAATTGCTAGATAGCTGTTCTGTGACTTATGTGTTGAAGTTCTTCTCAATATCGTTAAACTTTTTAACAATTATTATGATGTACTCACTTGCAGAAAAAGTGGAAATAATCGAACTTTATTTTAAAAATAATGAACGTGGCAATCGGGTTGCGCAGATATTCAATGAACGCCATCCTGACAAACACCTTTATGGCAAAATTGTTCGCGAGTTAGTAGCAACATTTCGCGAAACTGGTTCCGTTATGAATAAAAAGAGGCAGAGGGAAAATCCTGTAGTAAATAAAGCTATGGAGGTATTCGTATTGGGCCAAGCTGAGTACAAGAAAATCAGCCAATGAGACCGGCGTGAATCGTACAAATCCCCAAAGGATATTAAAAAAACACAAGTTCCACCCGTACAAAATTCAATTAGTACAAGAACTCAACGAAGACAATTTTGATCGTCGCTTGCAATTTTGTAAAACTATGAGTGAACGAGTGGCAAATAATAATAATTTCCTATTTAATATGTGTTTTTCGGATGAGTGTACTTTCTTTCTGAACGATGTAGTTAATCGGCACAACTGTCGGTACTGGGCTGAGGACAACCCCAGGGTTTTTCACGAGGTACACACACAAAACCCTCAGAGATTGAACGTGTGGGCTGGTATTTTTGTAAATTCTATTGTGAGTCAGTTTAACGATATTGAGAAGAACTTCAACGCACAAGTCACAGAACAGCTATCTAGCAACTACCGCACCTGATCGTTCAACCTTGTGGCAAATGATAAAATGCGTAAACATCTAGAAATAATAAGAAAAAAACTCAAATTGGTCGAAGGAATTTATCCTTACCATTTACTCTGATAAATGTTTAAGTAAACTTTTCAAATTTCAATCCTTCATATTTTCTCAATGACTTGACCGATTTTCAAAAACGAGGCGGGGAAATATAGAGAATAGAAAGCTCTTTTCATTGCGGCGCCACTTGACTCCCCTTCCCATTTGAAAAAAGTTGGGGGATGACACCCCCGCTCAGAGGGTTGAAGATTTTGCAATCATTTTTGGGGCAAAAGTTGTCCCCCTCACAAACAAAATTGACGTGTTTCTGGATTTTTTGAAAAAAAGAATACCCTAGCTGTTATGCCTTGCGGAACGTTTTCGATGGATGTACCGGTAAATATAACCTTTGTTGTATCTAAAACCAGAATGTTAAACCCTAATCGTCGCTTTACCAAAATAGTATAGACTGTCTTTATCGAAGTAAATATGTCAATATAGATTCGATACAGGTTATTTATATTTCGGTTATACGGGAATTAGATGTATTGAGCGAGAAGGTGGACACACTGAGACACTTCGATAGTATTTTTAAAAAATAATTTTTTTTTTGTGCTTTTACATATGTATTATTAAAACTATTTAATTCTGCTGTGTTTAGTTTCATAAGAAAGCGCACTATCGCGGAAATTGCAACCTTCTATCTTTCAGAATAAAGGAGATATCCCGCAAAAGTGCCTAAAATGGGATACCCTAATTAGATTAATTTTATTTAATACCGTTGCAACAAACGTGAAATTTGCGATTTCATAAAAAATAAAATATATTGGTAAATTTTACAAATGTGCTTGAATTTGAACAAAACTATGCAAAATTGATATGACAGGTGTTTAGGATAAATCTAAAAGAA